TATTTGCGTCGAAGGTCCCCAAGAAATACTATCGTCTTTAAAAAGACTATCGTCTTTAATAAAACTGTAGTCTCAGTGGACCTGCGCCCCTCAGCTGCGCTCAGGACTCGCGCTTACCCGAAGCGATTCGGAGGCCACGTCGTCGGCTCTTTTATCTACACGGCATTCGTGGTATATTTGAGACGGCGACTCACCTGGTGCAAATGACCTACGCCTGTAGCCTGCGTGCAACAAAAAGCTTAAGTACAGGCGAGGCGCTGAAACACGGTTGCAAAGTTACCGAAGAGCGGAGCGTATAGCGGGTATAGCAAAAGTCACTGTCAGCAAAGTGCTTGCTTCACACGGTCGATGAAGGAATGGGGTGCTTTCCCTTTCTGAGTTTGACTATCCACTTCTTCCTAAGCTTCGGGTCCTTAGGATAGTTGTGAAAGCTAATGCCCTTTTCACGGGTGGATGGTGATATAAAGGCACAGAGCAGTACTGCACTATTGCGCAGTACTCGCCGCGGAGACAAGCACCCGCAGTGTTATGAAACAAAGCACCATGCTTTTAAAATGCACGTTCAAAGCGGGCACCCATGATTGTTAGAAGAGCGTCAGTAGCCGCCACACACAGGATAACCAACTGAACTGCTTATTTGCCGAGTTTTAGCAATACGGTGGTTTGTATATGGCACCCCGCCTCGAAAGCAGGCGAATCCTCGAATGGACGTCGTGCTATCGTGGTTCGCAGCGCCGCCATCGGTCGCACACCGGGCCATTAGCGGCGGACGAAGTGGTACATTCTGTGTTGATAGTAGCAGAGTTATAGGAAAGTGGAAGTCATCAACGCTTCGATATGTGCACACTTTCAGTCAGCGATAAAGGTGTCGCATAAGTGCCGATGCAGAAGGCACGGAATATAGCGCCGTACAGCCGAGTTTGCGGCTACCCGGGGTCTCTTGGCTTCAATTTATTATATTTTGAGGCACGTATTTTGATACTACTTATAGCGCAATGTGACAAAACGTGAGCAGCAGCGCAACTAAACTACGGAATTCGCTAGAGCTTTCAAATTCTTCGAAATATGACGTTTAAGCGTTCAAACGGAAGTGTCATTTATTTTTAAAAAAAACTAAACTGTTTCGATTTCAGATCTTTGAGGAGAATATAGTAGGTTAAAGACAACTTCAGCTGCTATTGGGTGGAGAGCCCAACGATGACTTCACACTTTAAACCGCGTGCGACAGGAGCGCATAGCCCCACAATGAACTAAGACTACAGCTAACTCTCAGGAACAGCGCCGTTCGCGCAGTGATACAAAGCGCATAGAAGGGTACACGATTCGTTCGATGGGGCCTGCTGAAATAGCACGTGTGCTATAGCGTTCGTTGCCGAGCCCTCATACTCAAAGTTCACAGTAGCAGATTGACCCACGCAGCTTCGGCGTCTCTTCATACTCCTGCTTCCAGAAAAGGACAGAGAAGGCTTCCTTTTCGGTTAAGCAGAAATCAACGGCAGGCATCGCGCACGGAGCAATGTTATCGCATGCGCTCTCCGCGCGACGTAGCTGAGCAGCCTGTTTCCTCTATATATGTCTCAGAAGTGTTCCTCGCTAGCACTCGCGAGATTTTACATGCGGGAATGTGCGTATAAAAGTTATCTCTTTGGACGTTACACAGTACATGACGACGATGATGAACGACAGTCTTCACATAATTCTTCTCTTTGAAATAATAAAAAAAATCTTACGGAAACCAGCGAATTCGACAGCCCCACCCCTTTTTTTTTGTTTTTGGAGAGCAGCGTCGTCTTCGCTGCAAAGAGCTCGTCCGCATTCTCCACTACACTCCACTACAGCGCCTTCTCTAAAACTATTACAGGCTTTACCTTTTCGGCACCTATGTCTTCACAAATCACGTGAGCAATGGGGGCGCTGATCGTTCGGCGTATCATCTTGTCGGCTACTCTCTTGTTATTTCAGCCTGCGCAATCAGAAACTCGTGAATTGCTGGGGAATCACGAGTTCATCGTGCGCAATAATCATGCGAGATGAGGAGGAGCAGGGGCCGAATGCATGGCAAACCAAGGCTGGACACAATTCACAACTTATATTTCTTGAATAAGAACCATTCGACAGTGTACGCCCCAATGTGGCGTAAATCACTGTTCTGGCGTCAGGAAGACAAACGCCCGGAGAGAATGATGTCCTCGACATTGTATCGTCAGAAGCTGTTTTAGGGTCTTATATAGACATAGCATGGAAACACGGGCAAAAGAAAGTAGTCAAGACACCGCAAACACTGCGATGAAAAATCTTAAAGCTGTGGAGAAGAACGTGAAGTCATGAGTTTTATGCCCAGGTTTTCCGCTCGGGTTAAAATGAAACTAATGACCGCGCGCCGAAATTATTAAGCGATGGCGGCGGTGGCGTGGCCCTTCTCGGCACTTCGACGGCAGGGCGAATGGCGTGAGCTAAGATGACCGGCGGCGCACAGCTCTAGACGTCTATGCTGATTTTGTGCCTGTTTTCTGCATGAAGTACGAGCTGGAAGTTAGGAGCTGCTTGGCATTCTTCTTATGAGATTGCTATTTTTCCCGTAGCATTCGTGCCCTCGCCCTTGATTGATTGATTTGTGGGGTTTAACGTGCCAAAACCACCATATGATTATGAGAGACGCCGTAGTGGAGGGCTCCGGAAATTTCGTCCACCTGGGGTTCTTTAACGTGCCCCCAATTCTGTGTACACGGGCCTACAACATTTCCGCCTCCATGTGCCCTCGCCCTCGTAGCGAAAGAACGCTCAACTACCTCTGTGAAGGCATGTTGCACTTTCTTGTTATACCGATTTCCAAAAAGAAGGATCAGCCACGTTTTTTACTCATTTATAATTAACTATATTGATGAGCTACACAGACATTACTGGTGTTAAAGGCGCCCTGCAAAACTTTCTCGGCATGGTCTGTCGGCATAGTTGAGACTCCTGAGAACATGCAGATGAGCTAAACAATATAACGCAGCTCCTGGAAGCACAATTACAATTGATTTTCAAAGTCAGTTTGGTGTCGTTGCCTTTTTTTACTATAAGTGATGCCTTCTATCCAAATGAACATGCCACGTACACAAGTTCATTGCCATTGGCTGATTTGAGCATCACGAACTGCATACTTACCGAGGTGCCCAGTATGTTTCCAATAGACCAGATAATGAAAAAATGGAGCTCCAACGTGTACTACTTAAGCATTTGTTCATATCGCGTGTCTCAAATAGGGTGAATTCAAAGCTAATGACCCTCTCTATATGTGCATGGTTTACCGGTGACATTTTACGGCGTGTAGTGCACAGAATGTACTTGCTACGTTTCACTTTACACTATTTACGGCAATATCTCACGCGCACCCCAATCTGAGCACATGGGCCCTACAACATTTCCGCCTCCATCGGAAATGCAGCCGCCGAAGCCGGGATTCGAACCCGCAAACTACGGGCAGCAGCCGAGTACCTTAGCCGCTGGACCAACGCGGCGGGAAAGGGAAGCTCCTTATGAAATAGCTGTTCCCTCTAAAAGAGCTGCAACACAGGATGGCCAACAGTCTGTTGGCAGTGGATCAGAGCCTAAATCAAGCTGTTGTAAAATATTCCGGGCCAGCGCCAGGGGGCACTCTCTCCCCCATGGAGCTAGAGTAACTATGTATGCTACGAAAGGTAGCATATAGAGTAATTTTAATGTGCCTAAATCCTGCTCATGTGATTTTGTTATGAGTTGGCGTCTGGCCAACTATCCCTCGTATACCTACTGAAGGCACTAGGGCCACTGCTCACAAACCAACCTTGGCCTTACTTCACGTTCTCTTCAAGTTCCTGTACTTTCTACATTCGTTCTGATGGGCACAAGCATGGTGATAGTGTAGAAGATAACAAGTTTGGTCAATGAACGCTGGCCTACTTTGTTCATCATGCGCAAGAAGGCTTAAAACCGGTGACGAAAACTCGACGTAAGGTTGAGGTTGGTTTGTGAATACGCGCTTAAGTATGCCAGAACGAGGCCCTTTTTATGAATGAAGGAAAGTAGTGAAGATGTAAGGGCGCACGTTTTTTGTTAACCACAACATTGATGAGATTTAACAAAGTCATGTCAAAGAAAGTATGGGGGGGTGTTAAAATAACTATTTCGAATGTTGATGGAAAGAAAGAAAAGTGAACGAAGAGATACCTTGCCGTGGGTAGGGACAGAACAGACGATCTTCGAATAGCGTGCCCGATGCGCTACCATCTGAGCTACCACAGCGGCTATCCCCTTTTTCATTGTATGAAGTATATATGACCATAAAAAGAGGAAGCGTTATTCTATACACCGCCAGTAGCCATGAAGGCGAGTGCGGAACACTCTTTTTCTGCCTGTTTGGTGGCACGCCACGGTGACAGACTTGTTTCCTTCGTTCATGCCGAGGGTCTCATTATTGCAGACACCTTCAGTTAGTATACGAGAGATAATTGGTCAGGTGCCAACTCGTATTTAGATCACCTACTACGTGACACCAAAAAAGCAGGAAAAGAGTGTTCTTAACTCACCGTCATAACTACTGGAGGCGCTGACTCATTCTCTCACGTTTGATCCACATATAGCGGAAGGACTGAGATACAGCTCAGTCGGGAGAGCATCGGACGCGTCTTTCCAAGGTCGTGGGTTTGGTCCCTGCCCACGGCAAGTTATCTTTTCGTCCATTCTGCTTTCTTCACATTTACATTACAGTTGCTTCTAATATCATACCCTATACTTTCCTTGACATCATTGTCGGTTAGATCTCAATAATGTCGGTATATGAAGAAGGAATTTATGCGGTTAATGAATAAACTTGCCAAAGTATTCACAGAAAGACATGAGTATCACAGTAAGTGACGTGATACTTGGGGTGCATATAAGAGATAAGTAACTCTCGACATTTTATTTCAGGTGAACATCTACAGGTGGCCGCCTTCTGACTTTTTGCGGTGATGGAGGTAAACCGGAGCGAGCCATGGCTGCTGTCCTTCGGCATCGTAGAAAACACCTCGTCACCATTCTGGGCCATGAACGCTACAGATTCTACAAGAATGGCCCCTGCGGCGCTTCTGAAAGGCGGCCTTTTGCTAGCCATAATCCTCCTGGACATCAGCGGCAACCTTATGGTCTTGATGGCCGTTTTGCTGAACGCCAACTTGCGCACAGCCACCAACTGTCTCATCGTGAACCTGGCACTCGCTGACCTCCTGCTTGGCGCAAGTGTGCTGCCCTTCTCGGCGGCGCTCGAAATCTTTGACAAACAGTGGTACTTCGGTGAAATCTTCTGCCATGTGTGGGCAGCCACAGATGTACTCTGCTGCACAGCGTCCATCAACAGCCTGTGTGTGATCAGCGTGGACCGCTACGTTGGCGTCACACGGCCGCTCACCTATTCGAGCGTGGTGACGCACCGGCGAGCCCTGGTTGCATGCGTCCTCGTCTGGCTGCTGTCAGCTGTCATATCTGTGGGGCCTCTACTCGGCTGGCGGGAGCCTCCTCCTGCAGATCCGTTCGTCTGTGAAGTCACGAAGCAGACGGGTTACGTTGTTTTCTCAGTCTGTTTTTCCTTCTACGTTCCGACAGCGGTGATCATTGTCCTCTACTACCGCATCTACAGGGCAGCCACTCGCCAGACAAAGTTCCTGCGCACTGGCGTCAAGACTATAAAAGGCGGTCAGCTGACTCTACGAGCGCACACGCCATGTATGGCGGGAGATGATGCGTCATCAGCTGGCGTCCAAGGCCGTCTTGCTAAGTTCAAGCGTCAGAAGAAGGCAGCCAAAACGCTCGGAATCGTAGTCGGCGTGTTCATAATCTGCTGGTTTCCGTTCTTCTTCTTGTTACCACTAGGTAAGTCCACTTACGGGATGCCAACTTAAAAACAATAGAAGTATTCAGATATCTCAGCTTATACAGCCGCCGACAAACACATAGCACCACACCTAACAGGGCTAGATACTTCTGCTGTCAAGCACGATGGAATCAAAGACTATAGTATTCTGTTCTTAGTACAAACGTTGGGTGTATTCAGATCAGATCGAACACGAGGTCGGGGTCACCATTCGTGCTTTTGGCGAAATTCGCCGCGGGGGTAAGCATAAGCAACAACAACGGTTTCGAGGGTAGTTTTGGAAAAAAAAATATTCGCCTGAGAATTATGTACACGGGTAGCAAAACGCTCTTTCGACCAGTCCGCAATTTCTGAACTTTGGGCGCACCTAAGAAGAAAATGGTGCACTTCATAACCACAGCATTTATTACCCCCAAATTACAGGAAGGAAAGCAGTGACAATTTATTTTATTTTCTTGGACCAGCGTATCGTTTATTTAATTCAATGCCAGTGCAAACGAACGCTTCTCCACAGGATCCATCGCTGCGTTCGGGGAGTGGTCGTGGTGGGGCGCCACATGATGGATATACGGCTGCTGAAGTCGCGCCTGCGTGCGAGTGCTTTCCCATGGACATGCGATAGACTCGTTTCCCTCTCCACTATCAATCTGTCAGATTTGTTCCCTCGTCATCCTTCTAAGTGGCTCGAAGCAATGCCACCGCCGCAGCGCTCGTGATACAGCAGCGTTAAAGCCCCATAAAACTTAGCAAGGTAGCGACGTATGTGGTTTTCGAGCGCCTCCTCTCGACGTGCTCACGCGCCTCCTCTCTTTTCTCCTCCTCCAACCTCTCCGAGGCCGGTGCCGCGTCGGTATTGGTCAGATTCCATCACGTGGGACCGCTCGCAGTGTGCGTTTGTTTACAGACTCTCGTGACTACCACCTTTGCTCTCGAGGCACGGACTCCTTGAGGCACAGGGCATTCGTTTTGACGGATACGAACTTGTCCTTCTGTGCTCGCTGGGTTGTCAAATACTTTGCACTGAAGAATTAAGTCGCTGTTAGTTGCCGTGAGTGGTTGCTGCGCCTTCTGATGCGAGAACCAACAGCTCTTCATGATACTGCCCGTTAGGCGCAACGAGTTGCACAGAAGACATGATTACATAGAACCGGAAGGGAAAACTTCCGGTTGACACTTTCAAATCCTCTTCGCGGAAGAAGTTGCACGGATCTCACTATAAGTTTGGTTGGATGTTCGCTCGAGTCAATGCTTGCCCTAACGATGTAGACAACTAACAGTTAATTTTGCAGGAAGTAGAGATTTCTCCCTCAAGTTTCATTAATGCTTCTGTGGAGGCTGTATTAATTGTTAACAACGCATGCCTCCGTGTCCTGCTTGCCGTTATGCGCCGGCTGGTTTGAGTTCACACTACTGGTTTGTGCGCTTAGCATGTATGCGGAAAGACGCTCGAAATTGTGATTGCAAAACTTCAGATATTTCGCGCTGCTGTTTTTAATAAGGAAAACTGGAGTGCAGCAACTCACTTAAGATTCGTACTTTCATTGGTTTTTGTTGCAATTGGGGTTCGACCGCTTTTGGTTTGCCGAAGTTCGCTAAGAAAACCTTCGCATTTATTATAGGTAATTTTTTGCCATTTGTCATGTGTGTGACTTTTCTCGTCTAAAGTTATTCAGCAGGTAAGGTAAAAACAAACTGATAAAGTTCTTATATACGTTCTTTCAAGGGAATAAATACTGTGACCACGAAGTGCACTTTTTTTTAACTTGGGTGCGATCAAAGTTCCTAAATCGCGAAATTGACGTGATTTATATATGTATTTCTTTGAGCCAAGAAAATGTTTTGTTTTTTCATTTCGCAAAAGTAGCTTCGATACTATTGTTTTTGCTTGGATGTCTATAGTTCAATGGTAATTTTTCTCAAAATCTGGAATGGGGACCCGGACTTGGTGTTCAATTTTATCTGGAATTTTTTGCAGGTGTGAGAAATTAGCACAATCTAACTCATTCGTCTAACTGGAATCAACCTCGCACTAGTGTGCTTACAAATGAAGCTTGCTCTAATGCTAAAGCAAGCGTTTTGCTGGGCCGTTCATCGGAATCTTCTTGTTTCTTCACCAAGTTGTTCCCGCAAGGACTTTAGTAGCTGGCGTCTAAAGATATGAAACGCTAGAATACTTTATTCAACTGTGAAGTAATGCATTGAGCAGCTTCATTCATGCGGTGGCGGCTGCAAAACTAATCGTAGGTGGAGGGGGCGAGGGTGTCTACACTAGCACGCCTAAATATAGAAAAAAAGTGGTGATTTTGTGTAGAAGATGCCTACTTTTTGGCAACTCTAGAAGTGCTTAAGACTGTGACGTTCTTTGCAGTTCACGCTCAATTACTCCACGATTGGGCTGCAAGTAATATTGCATGAATTAGTGTGTGTTTTTTTCATCAATATGATTTGCCATGCAGCCCATGGCCCTTAAAACTGATTCGGAATGGTGACGAATGTGTAGTCAGTTTCATGTCAGTGAGAACAGAAGCAAATCTATATGGTGTAACACCGCGACCCCATGTGCTAGAATCAGTCTCACACAATGTGCGGCTTTTGATGAGATAATAAAAAGTGCATACACTTAATCTATATTTTCTACCCAGTGCCAACTTAGTTAGATCCACCTGTTTATGAGCGTGAATTATACAGTAATTAACTATTTTCATTGCAGGCACCCTGTGCGAGCAATGCACCGTGCCGCCGCTGCTGTTCGATTTTTGTTTTTGGAGCGGGTACCTTAACTCCTGCCTAAATCCATTCATCTATGCATCAACAAGCCGCGAGTACAAGCGAGCCTTTTGTGCCATTCTGCACTGCCACTGGAACAAGCCCCGCGAGGTGCCCTTCTTCAGGGACGCGCGTCACGCCTGGCCTGGAAGGGCGGGACACCGAAGCAGCTGTCCCGCTGTTTCCCCGAACAGCGAGATCCGCTGAAAGTGCGTCTCATCTATATCCTAGTCATTTGGGCACCGCAACTGTCCATAGCGGTTAGAAAAAAGGCCCAGCTCAAGTCTAACTAAAGAGACATTGAAAGCCTGTTCATGAGCACATTTCGCAGAACATCAATAGATATGATGTATACATCGTGCACAAAAGAGATGAAGGTCTCTGAGAAGAAATATTCATCTATAAACACTTTTTTCACCGAGAAAGACTACGCCGGTATAGTCACCTGAATCCAAAATCATCAAAGGCTCATGACTTCACTCCGTTTTCACGCGTTCATCTGTGCGAAGATCCCCTAGTGAAGATAATGCACAGCATGCTCAACGGCAATGCACACGCCTTAGTCACGGGTCTCCATTTGAAGCAAGCAAGGTTTAAAGAAAACCAGTATTCCACAGCGGAGCTGCTTATGTATACATCCTTAATTTCTTTGTGCTGCTGTCCGAACATGTAGAACCGTAGTGCCCTCTAGGGAGCATTGAAATGACTACCATTAATAGGTATACGTTGAGTCGAGGCTGGCGTGGTTCTTCGGAGGTATTGGAACATGGTGAGAACGGCAACGAGAGCAGACACGGCAGCGACACCGTTGGCTGTCATCTACTTCCACAATGGCCTCGAGCTGCGTAACATGGGACAGGAGGCGAAACGTGGGGTGTTCAAATAAGACCCTCTGCACCAATGCTTATCGGCCGCGCCCACCGAAGAAGACGGTCGGCGCAGCCGGCGCGCCGAGTTTGCCCGTCGCGGGAGCCGAGCGCCGAAAGGCCCCCGCTTCAACGTGGATGCCACGCCCGCTGTGCGCGTTAGTTCTGGCCAGAGTCCTGCAGCTTTTGGCGCTGGAGTTGGGACGTTCTTGCATGCCCGGTCTGTGACAGGCTTTGTGGTTGGACTCTAAGGAGCCAAGAAGGCCACGTTCAGCCCCTAAACTTCTGCAGTGTAAACTTCGTTTTCCTTCTTCACCAAGTATCAATTATTTACTTGTTTCAATTATTGCATCAATAGCTAAAATGTCAATTGTGACGTTGAATGCCGCCTCGGGTAACGTGGCATTAAAGCAGATATTTGCTGATGTGTTCTGTCCTATGGAGCAGTGCGTGAAATAAATTTAAAAGATGCGCTACCTAAGCACTTGTACAGCACTTTGGTGAGGACAACTTATAGCACTACGCTTTGCAAAGTGCGTGGATAGGCTTAGCGACTTCACTGGAGGTGTTGTGCTAAATGTCAGCAACTGGTGTGAAAATGAAAGAAAAAGACGTGGGAAGACCACGCAGGGAGTGAGAGATAATTTTATTAAAAGGCATTTGAGGCGCTATGCAGGATCGGCCGAGTTACGTGAAACTCGGGATATTCGTGAGCTCTGACGACACCGCGTTATGAACAAGCCAACAGAACAAAATGTTAAATGCACCCATCAGTACGCTGCGTTTCATTCGTTACGATGAAACCAGTCATTGCGTCAAGAATGATCGACTAAGTTGGGCGGTGTTTTCAAACCAGAGGCATCTTCTTTCATTTGTTTGTCGTTCCACTGAGTGCAGAAGAGCAACGAAGGGACAAAATTGTCAGAAACTTTTGCTGGTGATATTTTTTAGAGGCACGGGGTGGTGAAATTGAATTTGAAGCTTTCAATGCCTGCACGAAGTCTGTTTTAGAAAAATCAGCACGGTGGCCTCTGAGATCAGTACCGGCCGAGCGTCTTACAATATCGCGATCGCCGCTAAACCAGAGGTGACATGTACATCATGGTCAGCCTGTAAATTCTAGCGCGCGGCTCGGCTGCTGCGCGTCGTCTTTGTTTTCATCGGCCGCTAGCATCCGAGCACGTGCGGTGGGCTAATTAGCTTTTTGACTGGACGGTATACCTGGCTGGTTAGGCCAGGCCATGCTATGACCAAGCTAAATATGCCATGTCATGGTAGGGCCGAGGTAATTACGCCACATCTAAAAAATACCGTGCTCATGAAGCCATGTGAGGTTAGAACCGGGCTAACTAAAACATGCTAGGTGATGAGCTAACTAAACTATGCTAATTGACGTGACGTTAACCATGAGTACGCTTAGTAAAGCCATGATAATTAATCCTTACTAGTATGATGACAATTGTCTTGCTAATCATGATTACGTTTAACAGCTTCATAATGATCATGACATTGCTAATTGTGCCTGAGACAATTACCTCATAATTCAAGTCTTATCAATGAAGACAAGACAGCACAGTATAATGGTCTTTAAGCCTCAGTCAATTAGTACATTCACAATTAAGATAGAGCTGAGGTGGTCTTCACTTCGAATCCGAGCACGCGCATAAATAAACGACCAACTTAAAAAGCTGCAAGAAGCTAGTTTATCACAAGCTTCTCTACGGCTGCAGCCCCGCACAAGCAGTGTGAGTTCACCAAATTATTTTATATGCAAAGAAGCTGCCGCTTAGCGTTCACTGCATCAAACGGTTGACAGTAACACTGGCACCAACACAGTCACGGGTTGAACTCAGGCCTTCTCAAAATACACGAGTTCGTATCCGAATTCACGCGTCAATGAGTTTGATTGACAGACGCCAGCGGTGAAGCTCGGGTACGCCTACCAGGCTCACTAGTGCCGAGAAGCAGTACTCACATCAAGCGGCATGACTTATCTATCAGCTTTATCGCGCAGACTATGCACACACGCACCCAGAAATAAAAGTGATATCACAACGCGGCTACGATGTCCCGCATTCAATGTCACCGCGCTCACGACGTATCCAATCACAGCCGCGTTGCCGCCATGATACGAGTGTCCCTGGTGACCAGCTGTTCTTATGTTTATCTTCAATATTTGATAGAAGCGAAACGAGCAGCACTGGAGTGCTGCGTGTGCACCCTTGCTGCTTCGATTGTGGAAATTTTCATGCTGCACGGGGAACTAAAGAACGTGTTCGAAAGAGGACATACGCCCACAAACACGCCTGTGGGAGGGGCATGTTCAGTTGGCAAAAAGATAGCACAACAATAATTCTGACGTCACTGCACTGTTGAAATGTTAACTGGGTGACGGCGCTGACGTGTTCGCGCGCGGTGTTTCTTTGATACCCGTCGCAAATGTCCCACATGCGTTTCCAACGCCACGCGCGTTCCTGTAGCCATTTTTATCAACGCCGCCATCACGTGCTCCACACTGTCTTCATGCCATGGTCGCCGCTGAGCGATCTCGGAGCAAACTTGCCTGCCCGAGAAGCTCGGGCTATCTTGCATCGCACCCTTGGTCAGATTAAGACCCGTATTCACAAACGCTCCTTCACTCAAGGGCTCCCCTCGACTTGACGAAGTCAAGGCGGAGCGTGCTCCTCCACTCAAGGGGCCGCTGCGTTTCATGAACGCTCCTCCACATTTCCTTCCCGCGGGAGGCCTTGAAAATGCTCCCTTCACTTGAGTGAAGTGCATGCGCCGAGAAAAGCGCCGGATAACAAGAGTATTCGTAATTGTGGTTAGGAATTGCCTTTATCTGTACAATAAAAGAACGCTTTTCTTAATTATTCTTTTTTAAATATTGCCATTACAGCAAAATACATGCATTTAGAGTGGTAGTGTGGTTTCCCTAAGCCTTGTGCTGGTAGATTTAGCGAAACCTCGCTTCAAATCTGGCAACAGTCGCACCCAGGCAGCTGAATGGCATTTCGCCTGCTGCTGAACGTGTCTACCTGCTTAGTTTATTTTGTCTCGTATGCGTCTAATAATTGCAGTTTATATTTATAGTAGTGTCTGCGTGTGTGTCGTTTGAAAGCCTACTTTCGCCGGGGTTACTAACGAACTACGTGTGTGATGACAGGAAGCGCAATCGATGGTTTGTTGCTTTGTTTACTTTCGGTTTACTGAGAGCCTACTGATCACTAATGTAGCCACCGAATGTATAACACGGTGGAATGAGTATTTTTTACTATATATCACATTATATTGGCGTGCTTTTAGAATTCACCACCGCATTATGTATAAGGATTACTCGTACGTAAATTCGTTCTCGCTACGGGTGTACGTGCACAGTTCCTAAGTGCAGGGGCCTGTGCAATGTATATTTTTCTCATTTACTGCGATTTCACCGTGGAGCTTTCGTAGTAGTTTCTCTGCGTATAATAGGAAATTTGGAAGACATTGCTCACAACTGATATTCAAGGTTATACCAGGGTAGCGTTAAAAACTAGGCATGTTATACTCGTGGCTGAGCATTCGAATTAGACTACTACGCAAGTTAGGAAAAGCGATCGTGTGCCTTTCTTTCACTATCGGCGAAAAACATTTTAAAGATGTTGTTTTCTTCATTCAGCAGTATATATAGCTTGTTAACAGGAACTGATGTGTGTGTGTATTTCAACTTTAACATGTTAAACTTCCAAGGAATCATTTATTGTTTTTGCATTGTTTTTCTATTTGCCCTGCATTTGTGGATGCGTCTAATTTGACAGATTTGCATAGACGTAACCTTTAAATCTGTGTAGCTTCCATCTCCAAGTTCACCCAGCGGCAACGTCTTAAATTATTTTTCCCGTCTCCTTCATCTGCGTGCTCAGAAGCACATTCGTTAGTGCATGAATGACCTTCGCACTAACGTTTTCGATTTTATTTGCAATATAACTACTGGAAATACCTGTTGAAAAGGATCGTGGTGTCTGTGCTGCATTCCAAAGCCCCGGCACAACATAATTTATAGGGGATGTTTTATTTTTTTGGAAATAATAAAATTCAAGCCGCGTCTGACTATTGGCGCTGTTCTGTTTTAAAAACGATGTTGTGGTTTCTCTCAACCATCGAGAAAGTGTCGTCAAGAAGCAGCGTATTTTACTCTGCTGATTTATTGAAGACTAGTGCAACAAAGCGGTGAAAAATGCTCAAGAGTATTGCAGTCATCGCGGATATATCTGGTCAGAGCACTGTAAATAAAATATCCGCTATTGCTGCATCATTAGCGCGTCTACCTACATTAGCACGTCATTAGCACGACTACCTACAGCCTATCACTACAGTCCCTTGAATCACGTCGCAAAGCATCTCGTCTCATACTTTTTGACAAGATATTCAATCATCCACTTTTGAAAGCTCAGTTCATTACCACTCCTGCCTATTACTCAGCTCGTTTAGATCATCAACGTAAGGTACACGTCATTAGCTGCCGCACTAACACTTTTCATCATTCCTTCGTCCCACGCACATCCAACGACTGGAACCACCTTCCCTCGGACATGGTTTCCATGTCAAATCATGACTTGTTTTCTTCCACAATACAGGAGTACTTACGTGATGACGCGTGAAGTGTATATTGTACATTTATATTATTTTATTCTGTTTCCCCTATGTTTCTGATGGTACTTACACATACATCCAATGTATCGCCTAACATCAAATTTACATGTCTTGTAATCTTTATCATTTTGATGTCACTATGTTTCTCTTGTTCATAGTTTATTATTTTCTTGTACCCCACTCCCCTCTGTAAAGCTATGTGCGATTGAGGGTAATATAAATGAAATGAAATGAAATGAGAACCAAGCCATCTCAGTTCCGTGGAAGAGGAGTGGTGCTGCTTCATATCAAACAAGTTTAATTTTCCTAGAACTGCTTTCCTGTAGAATCAGAGAAGTGGTTTTTGCAGTCCTGTCTCATCATGAAAAGAAAACACGACCATAAATATGTATTAATAAATGAACAGAACAGAAGTTGTGAATGGCAAATGAACCTTTATTACATGTGGCTGATGAAGAGCAACGTGGCAAACATAAAAATGCAACTGAAAAGTGTTCATCAATCAAAAATACGCAACCTACACACTGTAAAGATAAAGTACGAGCTCGGAGGTCATCATAAATAAGATTGAGGAAGTAGACACCATAGCGCGCCTGTAATTCAGTGCAGCTGCACGCATTCACTGCAGTTTTTGTGCTTTTTGTATACAGTCGTTCAAACTCTGCAATGTATTGATAATACGGCAGATTTTAGGAGACCTTTTCTCTGTGTTCTTCTGTCGGCAGCTGGTCTCCTGCACAACAGAGGCAATAAATAATATTAGAAAAACGTAATAGCTTGGATACCAAAGCCG